TCTATTTTATAGCGGTAAGTTTAATAGTATGAAAGTTATAAAGCGTTAAAACTGGGTCATTCATTTTGAATCACCCTGTATTTATTACATGAATTTGAACAGGTGGTGTTTTTGTCCTCTGAGGACATTAAAATAAAAAAGTAAATTGATGCTGGGTCTAGATCTTTATCAATTATCCATCATTAAGATGGGGATGCCACTTAGGTGCATATTTTGACCCAAATATGAGTGAAGGATGAGTGTAGAATGGTGCGAGATGATTTGTGTAGCTTTGTTACTAAGATCAGCTGTTACTTTAGCCAGGATCATTTATTTAAAGCCCAATGATCAGGAACAGCTGGGTCCAGTTTCGAACCATCAAAAAGCTACTGACATTTCTCAGGATCGAACCGGCGACCTTTTGATTAGTAGGCGAGCACTATATAACCACTCAGCTACCCAGCCACTTATCACGATATCTTACCACGAGACCTACAGTAAAAGCATATTTCCTATATGGAAATACGTTTATAAACGGTAATATAGCAGAACCCCGGTTAACCGAAATAAAGGGGGGAGGCTGTTTCGGATAACCCGGTTAACCGAAATAAAGGGGGGAGGCTGTTTCGGATAACCAATTTTTCGGTTAACCCATCGTATGCTAAAAATAGCCAATGTAACACCACAGTGTGTAGGAAAAATGAATTTAGGAAAATGTCTATATAGTTCAACAGTGTTTTGTTTCAGCTACAAAAATGTTACAATTGGATACAAAAAAAATACTTTAAACCAGACAACTGATATTATTAAAGCATTTTACAGCCTTATATTATCTTATAAAACCATTTCGGTTACCCCGGGTTTCGGTTAACCCAAATTCAGTTAACAGGGGTTCTACTTTTAACATCAAATCATGGCAGTTTTGTTGTGCTACCAGTGATTAAGTTATAATTGTTTATTAGTGTCTTACATTGTTTTGTGGTCTGATTGAGTGTGGTACCTTGGTGGTCAGCCAAGTATTAAGTGCCAAGGCTTAAGCAGATATTTGGGTCAGTAGTGTCGCTAGTACGCTGGGAAGGTGTCTGAACCTATAATTTTTCTCCCTCCTCTTAATAATTGGTTTGTTTTTAACCACATTTAAATTTTCATATTTGCATAAAGTTAGCCTATACAACATTTTTGGTTTGTTTGCGTTGTTACTGGTGTAGGACTGCTTGTATTTTCTATGTAATGGTTCATCTTTATTCACTGTTAAGCAATTTACAGTAGCCCACTACTAAAGTTATTTATTGTTAAGTTTTATTTCCTGATCAGTCAAATGTAGACCAACTTTAGTTTAGTCTTATTAAATTTGTGTATGATTTTTCTTGGATAACTGTCATTTTTGTTGGTTAAGATAAAAGTAGTGTATTTTCCCCTAATAAACCAGATGGCTACAATTTTCTATATATCTATATATTAATTTGAAACTGTTTTTCTTTGTCACAGCTATTTTGAGAGAACGGCTGGGCGTAGAAACTCGGTAGAGGTGTCTAAAGAAAGGTCTTGGTCTGTAGATGAGCCATCAAAAGAGAAACATGGTGAATTCCCTTGGGGCTCTGCCCCCATGGCCTTTAAATTCCCATCCCATGTTATTCTTATGGAGGAAAACGGGGTTTTTGTCACAGCTAATTTGAGAGAACGGCTGGGCGTAGAAACTTGGTAGGGGTCTCTAAAGAAAGGTCTTGGTCTGTAGATGAGCCATCAAAAGAGGAAAGAGGTAAATTCCCTTGGGGCTCTGCCCCAGAAGCCTTTAAAGTTGCCTCTTCAGATTTGTTTACATTACGACCATATGCATAATTCTACACTACCTACTTTTTAATGCAACAGCTGTTAATATTTAAATTGTGATTTATTGAATTTGTAAAAATAAAGTACAGTATTTGCAATGGATTTTACTGATTTTAAAATTGATTTTCTTCTGCATCGTGTCATGTTTTGCAATATAATGTTCTATTACCAAATCAGTGGAAAATCCTAATATCACAGTAACTTTTAAAATGATTTCTTATGGAGTTAACTTATATCTATTGTATGGGTTGGTTTCTGCCTTTTTTACCGCTTCTTGGAGATTGTACGTAGGTGATATTCTTTGGCATATTGCATCTGTAGACGAAAGTTGGGTTGGTGTAATTAATACAATGGAAAAGAGCGAGAAATCTTGGACAATTTGATATAGGCTAAAAATAAAACTGAATTAACACTGTGGCTACATTTCTTAAGCAATCATTTAAATAATCGATTTGCAAACAATGGAAACATAGAAAAAGTCATAGAACACAACCAAGTAAAAAAAATAGAAATGTTTTTTTACACTAAAAACACTAAAAAAAACAAAATGAATTTTTTGAAAAAGATAAGACATTTACAAAAGATTTTGATTATATCTAACTGTTGTGTAGATCGTGAGTAATCCACCAAAAGAGATTATGGAGAGTTCCATAATCTTTGAGTCGCCTGTAATGCTTCGCAATTGCTCGAATTCGAGCAACAGGTACACTAGTAAATAATTATAATGATTCCCATATTCAAATTTTTAATTACAATCTGGTTTTCAAAGGTGAAGTGCAATGATTTTCTTGAAAATTTAAATCAAAGAAACCTTATGTCTCATATGGTTGCCCAAAGGAGGTAATTAGATCAATTATGATTGGTTGTTATTAATGTATGCCACTTGAGTTATCTCTTTGGTCATTGATTCTTAGCTTATGGTTTTAGTAGAAATTTAGACATTTCCTACTTATATTTCTGTATATTTCCAGAGAATGTAGCAATTTAACAGTTTATTTTTCAAAGGAGTTGGATCTTGTTCAAATGACTGGCTGTCAATATTTCTAGATGCATTTTATAAATAACTGATACCGACAAACATACACTTGATCACCTAGAGTGTTGGTTGTGGTGTTCAACCTAGCTAGTGAAGTGGTAAACAAGATTAAAACTAGTGAGAAAGGTCGCATATCTTTTTATAGTTATATAAGACACTACATTTTGAAGTTTTCTTTATCAAAATAAACAAAACAAATGATTCTTAATGTGATCATTCAAGGAAATTTAAAAATGTTTTCTATCTGTTGTACGTTGTGATTTACTAGTTTTACCAAGCAGTTTAACATAGTGTCCATAGAACCCAATCAATTGAAATAAATTATGTTAGGATTTAAAGAAGTTTTAGTTGTCACAGTAAAATAATGCAAAACCCAGCAATCTGTACTTACTACTTATGGACAAGTTACCAATATTAAATGTTTTAGCTAGTTTTGCTTTGGACTAACTATTAAATGTGTATGTTGTCTGTTTCTGCCTTATTTGTGTTCATTTCTTAGTCTTATTCTTTAAGTTTATTTTGTTTTTATTTATTTTCATACAAACACTGTTCAAATGATTGATATTTAGATCTGCTTGAGCACACTATGCACTTGTTGGTGTAATTTCAGTATCAACCGATCCTTTAGTTATAAGCTGATTCTTCTGAGAAACACATACACAAACAATAAGATTGCGCAAAAATTAAAATAAGGAAACATTCTTTTAATTTTTGCATTTTTGGATCAACCTAAAAATATCTTCCCTAACAGCTTATAATAGCTTCTGTAAATTTAAAATTTGTTTTGCAATGTTATCATGACATGTTTCCCTAGATTCAGTGCTATGGTTATCAGTTATTAATTGGACATAAGCAGTAATGATCACAGATGCAGAATTAATTTACTCATTGATAAGACTATCTTCAGTGTAATTGCATGCAAATAGCTAAGTAGTCTTTGACTGTTGGTAATATATTTCAAATAATAGTTGTGTAGGACATTTAAACATATTTCAGTAAAAAAAGAAAACATTTATCGTTTTTGGCTCTAATTATTCTAGATATTTTTAAACATAGATTTTATATTTTGTTTTAAAATAAAAATATATACAGTATTTAAAAATTAGAGTTAGAAGTACCATGTTTTTTTATTAAGTTTTTGAAATAGTAACTAATTACTTGCTTAGCATTGAATAACAACATTGTGATAATCGATTATTGCTCAGGAATTACTTCTGTGACTATTTTTACCTTGACTGAAATTTGGGTTTCTTAAAATGATTTAGGCTAGTCATTTTCTTCTATTTGCAAAATATGTTATGCAACAATAAACATTTACATTGGAAAAAATTATTTAAGTGATCAGATAGTAGATGTTTGAAAAATAAGAAGTGAATTTCTAGTAGAATGTTGTAGCTTGTAAATTCTAACCCACGGATAAAAAATATTCCATCTACTCGTATATTGTAAACTTTGTCTTGTCTATAGAGTATAGGGTTCCAAGAAATTGCAGTTTGTTTAGTCATCAAGAAAGTACTTGAGCCTCCCACCCTTTTTTTGATCTGTTGATTTTAGTTGTTGAAGCAAAAAGACCAAATCCCTTAAGATTATTGAATCATTGAAACTAAAAAGCCTAGGCGATTGTTGATAATTACTTTATTCTGTATTGAATAATCACCACATATTAATGAAATATGTTTGAAATTTCTTTAATTAATTCCTGTAGATATTCTGAAGACTGCCAAGTCTACGTTAGTGATATTGAAGACAACTTGTTTTTACTAGACTCACTAAAACTTCAAAATATTTGGCCATTAGAAAGGCTTACAAACGTCAACATTGTCCATCATATAAACCATACAGCTGCATTGGCTATAAACTTTAAAGGCTTTCTGTAGAATTTTTCAATTGCTGCATTATTTTCCTTTTCTACTTTGTACAATACAAATTTTCTTCCTAAACAGTAACAAACACTGACTTTTAAAATCAAATGAACATATTTAAGAAATATGACATTGCACTGAAATGCACAGCCAGGAGGCGAATGAGAGCCTCGCAAATGGTTCAGTAAAGATGGTTGTTCCTTGGTTGACTTGAGGGTATCTCCTTAGTTTTAACATTATCAATCTACCAATACTTTTGGATGTTGACTACATGTGCGTGTGTTGTTTGGCAGGTAAGGATGGCAGTAAGGTGACGACAGTGGTGGCGACTCCAGGGCAAGGTCCCGACCGGCCGCTGGAAGTCTCATACACAGACACCAAGGTCATCGGCAACGGCAGCTTCGGAGTTGTCTACCAAGCCAAGCTGTGCGACTCCAGCGAGATGGTCGCTATCAAGAAGGTACTCCAGGACAAGAGGTTCAAGGTGAGTTGGACAAACGGTGGCAATGAATCCTTGGAATTATGGGAGTAGTGGGAAATCGGAATAAGCAGATTTCTTTAAAAAAATCAACACATCTATAGTTAAATCATTGCAATCAGCTGTCACAAATCTCAGCTGTCAAACATAAAAGATTTTGCAATAGGCTGCAATCATTTGAGATGATGATTTTGAAGGAGATGATAATAATTTCCACGCAATCATAGGAGACAATGATCATTTTTCTTGACATTTTAGTTTAGAAAGCTTGTCTATTGTTCACGGAGACATAACTAACTTTCCGTTGTTCTCTGTTATAATTACTATGTTCGGCAAATGTTGTAGCAACATTGATGATTTTCTGACATTAGTGGTATTACATTTATTACTATGAGTATTATTATGACATATGGTGTTGAGTTCTGAGGAAATGCTACAGATAGTAAAACAATATTTAAAATCCAAAAGAGAATTATAAGAGTTATCGCACAAGTTAATCCAAGGACGTCTTGCAGAAATTTGTGAACTCTTTGAGGGCTATGCAATGATATATCGTTGTTTACCAAAATCTCTAAGGGATGTAGTGAGGAAGTATCTAAAAACTACTTATTTGAAAAAAGTAGCCAAAACGGCCATTGGCGAACTGCATGTTTATAGGATACAACACCAACAACCACTTTGCTAAAAGATCGCCCAATCCAATGAATCTGGTGTATGTATAAAACAAGGATTATGAACACCTCACTATGCCCCAGTGGTTGTAGTATATGGCTAAAAACACAAAGGTCTCCAATTATTTTTGAACCCGAGCAAAATATCCCACTGGCCAAGTGGCACACATCCTAGCCACCTTGGCTAACTGTTCTTGGAGACTATGGAGTAAAAACCGGTATTTAAGCTGAAGTCAACAATTGCCAACAGATTGCGCTACCAATGACGCTATACCCAAGTTGTTCAATGCGTTACTAGGTAGCAGCAATAATTAGACACGGTCTGTTTTGAGGGTATTTTTTCAATTGGATCTTCAACAAAACAGTGATCATAAATGGTATTCTGTGTGAAATATGTTGTCTTTTTTAATCTAATTTGAATGTGTTTTTTTTTTTTTACAGAACCGAGAGCTTCAAATAATGAGGCGTTTAGAACACTGTAACATAGTAAAACTTAAATATTTCTTCTATTCAAGTGGAGACAAGGTAAGTTAAAAAAAAACACTGTACAGAATATAAATTGATAACTTACCCTAAGTTTAAAAAAAATTTTTAACCAAGGTTACAGAATGTTTTCTCTATTTATTTGTAAATACAGTAGGTACAACCCCTCTAATCCGTCACATGCTAGATTTGGCTCCGATCGCAGGGAGATGACGATAAAGATTCTGTGACTGCGGAAAACGCTGATGTGATGTTTCTGCAAATTTTTGCCGCTATAGTATTGCAGAAAACGGTGATGTGTCCATGACCATGGGGGATGAACAAGCTTTGACGCAACTGCAGGAGACTGTGCTGATGTCCACACGACTATGGGAAGGCGAGGAGTTACACTAGCTGATAGCTCTTGACTGCTACTAACTTTCTGATCGCTCCCCATGACTGTCGGTCGCTCCCGATGTCTGCCCATAGGTCCTGATATCTGTTCATCACTCCCAATGTCTCCCAAATGCTACTGAATTTTTCAAAAATTACAAACATCTGCTGAGCTCCAGACTGTCGCCAACTCTTCCAATCGCTACTGATAACTACTAAACTTGCTAATATGGCTTGAAAAAGCATGCAAAAAAATTCTGTATACTGATGCTGGATTATTGAAAGTACTTCATTAGCAGGCATTTACTGTTTTAGACATAATTAGATTAAATTAGATGATACATTTTATCAGAGAAATCAATATGCATCTAAAAAATTACAAATGAAGAATGTTAATGATAAATCCAGATGTATCATAACACAACTTATACTTTTATTTCATTCTAAAAATACTAAATATTCTTTAGAGTAAAATATTTGTATATACAAAACCCACTATTTTTTTTCTTTTACAGAAGGACGAGGTTTATTTGAACTTAGTGTTGGAATACATCCCAGAGACTGTTTATAAAGTGGCGAGGCATTATAGTAAATCCAAACAGACTATACCTACTAGTTTTATAAAGGTAAGGTGCAAGTTTGTGCATTTCTTTTATTACCATGCAAAATTTGTATTCAAGTGTGGTAAAGGTACAGTGCTAAAAAATAGGGTTTACCTTCGTCTACAGCTCAATGAGTTGTAACTTTCGTTACGGCCGTTTCGGCATAAATATGCTATCATCAGACGTCTTCGGCTGAAGCAGCGTCATCACAGTGAGTAGAAACACATAACACACACACAATACATTTTACAGGGTGTCCACCGACCGGGAAAACCGGGAATTATGCGTGAATTTCGTATTTTACCGGGAATTTTCAATTTGCCACAATCGCGCATGAAGATGACGTTTCCGTGACCGCGGGAGACGACGATGACGTTTCCGTGACCGCGGGTGACGACAATGACGTTTTCGTGACCGTGGGTGACGATGATGACGTTACCGTGACCGCGGGAGACGACGATGACGTTTCCGTGACCGCAGAAAAGGAATTATAATGTTTCCGTTACCTCTGAAAAATATCAGAATTTTGTCACGACCAAGAAAGACAGTGGTTATATTTCTGTTACTGAGTGAGATATTCAGGATTTTTCAGTCATCGCAGAAATCGATGATGGTGTCTTTACAACAGTACAGGACAACAGTTCACGATATAACCTCGAGTTTGGCTTGACAAAAAATTTCAAAATGGCACACTTTTAGGAAGTTTTATTTTTTATGTTTTGTAATATCTTCATTTACCTTTAACGTGGTATTTATTTAATGTGTTTAGAAGGGTTTAGAATTTTAATTGGCTACGTGAATTTTTTGTAATTTCTGCATTAATTATTTCTGTAGGACATTTGAGATACAACCTTTAACTCCGAAATTACTGAAACATGACTGAGTTCCCAGACCCCAAAATGGGTACGTGGAACTTTTACCAAGATTCTGTGCTCATGAGAGATCTGCAGGTGTTCAAAAAAATACAACTGAAATGTGATTAACATCCTTTATTACCAACTCAATTAAAAAAAATTAACAAATATGCGCCCTTAAACAACAGCAATATATACAATTTGGTACAAGGCTGAGAATGTAAATCAATACCAGTGTTAGGCCTAAATCATTTACCAAAACATTTATGTATATAACTTTACCAAAATTGAAGTTCAAGTTTAAGGACCAAGCTGGTAACTAAAAGAAATTCCTGACTTTAAGTTAGGTTAGGCCTACTCGGAATAAAAGGTTTAGGACAATGAAAAATTTAAAAATATGAATCTTAAAAGGCAAGAAATTGAAAATATGACATAAAACAAACATTGAATTGAAATGACCTACAATGAAATCATTTAAAAATAGTATTTGACCAAAATATCAATAACAAGTTGCGTTTAAAGAAATACGTTCGAACAAACCTTACAGTTCAAAATTACACTCAACATTGACATGAAAATATTTAAATAGCAACATAAGACAATTATACACGAATATACACTAACATCAGGATAGAAATTTAATTTAAACAGTAAGAAATAGAATTTTAAAAATGGCAAAAATTGTGGGGAAGAATCATTTAAATTGAAACGGTAAAACACAAGGGGATTTATAGTCTGTAGTTTAGTCCAGAAATAAGAAGTAGGCCTAGTTAGGGAAACACTAAGTTCAATTTGCTAGGCTACAGAATTTAAGAAGTTGAAACGGTAAAACTTTAAATTGGGGAAAAACTTGATGTAAAATAACTGTTCTTGAAGGTAGGCTGAATGAAAACGTTGGAGTAATAATAACATGGAGTAGATAGCACTTGGTTTGTAGAGATGAAGAAGGTCAAAGTTCTTGTAGAATGTTTCTGGGTGAAGTCCTTCCGCTGCGAGTTGGTTGAGGTTAGGCCTAGTTTAATCCGGGGGCGACGCCCTCGTCTTGCTCCGAACTAGGTCAGGATCAGGAGGCATGATGTGTCCACTGCTTGTCGGTCCAGGACAGGAGCCCTTTAAAATTACACAGGCCTACTTAAAAGTTGAAAATAACCAGTATTTCAGAATGTTATCAAACCTAACCCTTTCAAAGAATATAGACTTGGTCTTTCGAGAGTTTTCGGCAGAGCTAAATTTACATAAAATTTTAAGTAAAAATTTAAATATCTGTTAGTCATGATTAAACAAATAATCTCTGTTGCTTTTTCTTGGCTTAACAAAACAATACATATTTTCATTCACCCTTCTGTTACCAATACTAATACAATTTCCAGCCTAGGCCTAGCCTGTGGATTTTGTTAAAGGGAAAAACTAACTCTTTCACTTTAGTTTAGTTTAGAAAACCTGTAAACACAAACAATTAACGACTCAGAACAACACAAATAATTAAAATCAACAAATTTACCAAAGTCGAACACGTGTGTCCTGAACACCAACATGAAATTTTCCTGTCTGTGACCAGACAAAAACTAACTTTAAGCACAAAATTTTATTGACAACTACAATTTTAAACATTTGACAAAACAAGTTAAACAATTTAAACAACTTTAAAAGACATTATAAACAACATTTTACACAAAAATATAGAAAAAGGACAAATCTCTTGTGAACGCTTTCAAGAACAGACAAAAAGTTTGAGGGAAAATGGCTAAGTTTAAAAATGAAAAAACGGACAATTAATCTAATACAATGATTTGACATACCTGGCTTGGTGTCAAAAACAAATTTAAGCTAGCATTTTAGGAAGGTCGAACAATATAAACTTCTTTCTTGAGTCTCCATAGTGCCAGTAAAATTTGAAACGTCTATCTCGGAGGAAGATTTCAAGTAGAGAGAACGTCTCCAAGCAAATCGGAGAAGAAGGGGAGTAAAGACAAAGTGGACTCGCCCACGGCCTTTGGCAAGCGTCGGCGTACAGTGCCTCTGCCGTAATATGTACTATAAGAAATACTCTCCTCTCTCAAACTGAGCCGACTGACACGGCTCATTACATGCTATATGAAAGTACATAAAGACAGGGGTTGGTGTAGTAATCATTACAGAAAATTTGGTAAAGTTGAAATCAGTATTAAGAATCTATTTTCAGGTGTCTGTACAGAGAAAAAAAAATTGGTATTGACATATCACTTTTTTTAAGAAGTTGTTGATAAATTGCAGGTTTAAGGATTAGTTTTTAATTTTCGGATTATTTAAACAGTGATGTATAAAAATTGAACACTTGTGTCAGGCAATATTACAGTAATGATAAATTTTGTTTCTTTAATTGAGAATGCTCTTTCCGATAACTAAAATAGCGAGCTGTGTTACCGATAAAACAGCATTGCGAAAGTTGGCGCAAAACACGTTGGAAATTTTACTATGAAAAGTACGAACTGAACTCCCTGGATTTTTTTTTACTCATGAATTACTCATGCATTTTTTCTGGTTGGTCTGTTGTACACCCTGTTTTACAAGTTAAAAAATAGGAAAATAAAATTAAAGTAACTCAGTGGTGCGTCAGACTGTGACGCTAAGGTAGCGATATCTTGGGTTTTCATCTTGGTGCTGCCAATGAGCAAAATTAACAGTACAGTTCTTTTCCGTACTGTACTGGCTCATCCCTTGCTTTGCTTAAATTAAATTAACACATTCAAGTAAATACATCAACTTGGCTAGATTTTTCGACTAATCGTTTTGTTATGGAAAACTTTCTCACCTGAGGACAGTATCAGATTGCAGATACCAAAACATGATAACTGTGTGTGTTGTATTAACTGTGGTGGAAAATGACTGCAACAATCTCTTCATTCTTCAATAACAAAGAATGTCATCGCCAAAAATGAAATTCAAAGTGTTAAGAACTGTTGTTTGTCCAGTTGTACATGTATCAACTGTTCCGGAGCCTGGCGTACATCCACTCGTTAGGCATCTGCCATCGAGACATCAAGCCACAGAACCTATTGCTGGACCCAGAGACAGGTGTACTCAAGCTGTGTGACTTTGGCTCAGCCAAGCATTTGGTCAAAGGAGAGCCTAACGTGTCATACATCTGCTCACGGTACTACCGAGCTCCCGAGCTCATCTTCGGGGCTATCGACTACACTACCAAGATTGGTAAGCTGTTGTGTTCTATGGCTTTTTCAGTTAGTTTAAGAGCCACCTTGGTAACTCTTAATAATAATAATAATAATAATAATATATCTTTATTGTCGTTTGGTAATATAAACATTACAATAGACAAGGTCAACATGTTTTGTTACATATGTTATATAAAATATTAAATATTCTACAGAAAATGTTAAAATTAAGTTAAAAGAATCTTAAAAGGATAAAGCATCAGTAATAATAAAAACTTTGAAATTAACAGGGAAAAGACCATAACACGAACAAAGAATCATCAAGACTGCTTGGCCTCACATTTAAGCGAATTTAACGTAGGACATGTGCACAAAAAACTACCCTAGGGTAGTTTTTCTGGTGTTTGCACCCTGTCATCAATACATCTATAATGAGATATTTTACTCAACTGGTCATTTTTGTTTTGTTTTACAGTCTGAAATTTGCTTGTATACCATCAATATTCGCAACTTATTATAGCCTAAGGGCCGGACTACACGAGCATAAGGAACGCCACCGACCGTCTGCTTTTTTTGCAGAGCCAATAGCTTTATATGATGTGGACTACACGAGCGTTTTGTCTACCCGGTGAGGACGCAAAATCTAACGCAGATCTAACGTCTCTGGATGCGTAAAATACGCGGGCGCACCGGACTACACGAAGCAGCAACTAGCATTTCTCCTGCGCGTTGATACATCCCTCCCCTCACTTGGGCGAGTCAAATTCTGCATCTGCACTACTTGTTGTATTTGGAGTCGTCTGATTCTGTTTTGTGCCTTAATATTTGTATTTGTTTTGCTGAAAAAGTTTGTCTGGGTACATTCTATGGGTATTAAACAATAATTGAAACTGAACTGTTACTAAACGACTTGATAATGTTCGGTGTGACTACCAACGCCTCTTTGCACGACATTTCTTCTTAACAGCCTGCAACAATACCATACCAGCTATACATCCGACCTGTATCGTGTCCATTCCATATTGGAACGGTCCAAATGTTAGTCACATTGGGCGAGGACAGTCGGCGGCGTTCTATTCGCTCATGCAGTCAATGTTTTCGCGTTTAATCCGCTACTGATTGTCGGCTTTGTGTAGTCCTAGACATTTTTGCGCGTACTTTTTAGACATTAGACATTAGACATTATTTATTTGCACATAACATTCTTTTAGATGTGATAACATATAGAACAGGTGCATTGTCAAAATTGAGCCTAGACTAGAAAAATACAAAGTACAAAGTAACAGGAAAAAAATACCTAGCCAAATAATGTAAATACAAGTTAAGAAAATTAAAAACAAAAAAATTAACTCAAGGGATGGTTATAGAATTCTTCTATTTTATAAAATGCACGTTCAAGGAGTCCATTTTTCAATGTTTCTTGAAACTTGTTTGAACTCATTATTTTATAATATACCGGTAGTTTATTATACATTTTTAAACCTGCATACAAAGGACTTTTTTCAAATAAGGTCAAACGGTGATTTGGTAATCTGAAAATTGTTTCGTTTCTTGTACTGTAGTTGTGTGTGAATTTGAATGAATCCGGGAGGTTATTTTTTATATTGTGTATGTAATTTAATAATTCAAATATGTATAGTCCTGTGAGTGTTTGAATTTTTAAATTTTGAAAGTGTAATTTACAAGGACTTGAGTACGGATTATATTTGTTATTATTATAATTATGTTATGTTATTTACCTATAATTGTTATTATTTATAGCTTACAAGGACTATCGGCGGCATTTCATACGCTCGTGTAGTCCGGCCCTAACACTCAACCACTCATCTGTCTATGTGTGGTAATAAAATGAAACTAGGGGACCATAGCAGAAATTTCTGCTGTTTAGTTATATATACAAATTGAACTTAAATACACACTTTTTACACATTTAGTCGTGGTGTACATCAGCTGGTATACTTAAAACAGCTTATAGAAACACTGTAGCAGTACTTCCCATTATAAAATGACTGGATCTTTGAGGACCTGTGGGGCAGAGCAGGAGTAATTTTTGACACTTCTGATATCTTTACCACCGTAAACCTTTCAAATGAACCCTCAACAGCCATGCTACCTTTTTCCTAGCTCGAGATATTTCGTGGGGACCGATTCGCTTACGGAATTACATTAAAATGAAATGTTTATTCACCACATCAAGTTTTACAAAACCTAACCACACAAATTTATGATATCGATGTAATATAGAGCACAAGGGCCTAGGTTTTTAGGATTTTTGGGAGGATAGAAGTTGCGATGGTCAATGTTTTGTTGTTCGTTTACATTCTGAATCAGACAACCGGCGTAGTTCATGCCGGCCCAAAATTATCGTGCACTCTCAGTTATTTATCGTATCCAAGTCTGATAAGTAAATGGAATCAGGGAACTGCTCTTGCTTTTTACAAAACGAAATAGTTGTAGACTGAAAACATCCAAATGGAGGTAGCAGTGGCACGGTAACTCTGCTAGAAAATCGAGCCGCTGTGTAATGTTGTTATGTTGGTACCACCAGACAAATCAACCAGCTCATTGGCTGTTGGCTTAATTGCAATCCCACAATCTCCTGGTTCCATAGTACTAGTCCCGTAGTACATGTGGAGGCCAATGTATCTCAACTGCTTTTACTGCTACCGTCGGTTGTAGGTTATAGCTCTAGTTCAGCGTGAGTGTTCGAGCAACTATTGCCAGTATCATAGACTTAACCTTGACCGCCCAAAATAAGTATTTGTCTGGGTTGCAATTGTGGAACTGTACCGTAGACACTAGACAGACGATTCAACGATTTACTCAGTTACACAATACGATTCTCAATCAATGCTCGACTGTGGATTGAATTGATGTTTAGTCTTTAATATGTTATTTAAAATTAGAGATGGACGGGTCCCGAATTTTCGGGAATTTTTCGGGGGAAAAATATGCCCCATTATCGAGACGGGATTACATTTGATTCGGGAATTTTTCGGGACGGGATTTGGTCCGATTGTCGGCGATTTTTCCGCTTCGCGAGTGCCGATAACGCCGCTATTGCGAGCAATACGTCTGCGAATGCAGGAGACGAAGTTCTACCGACGATCTCGCCGTCACCGCGAAGTTCTACCGACGATCGCGCCGTGACCACGAGTCATACCGACGATCACGCCGTGACCGCGAGTCATACCAACGATCGCGCCGTTACCGCGGAGTCATACTGACGATCATGACGTGATGGCGAGTCATACCGACGATCATGCCGTGATGGCGAGTCATACCGACGATCACGACGTGACCGTGGAGTCATACCGACGATCGTGCCGTAACCGCGGAGTCATGCCGACGATCGTGCCGTGATCTTGAGTAATAACGACAATCTTGCCGTGATCGCGAGTCATACTGACGATCGTCCCGTGACCGCGGAGTCATACCGACGATCACGCCGTGACCGCGGAGTCATACCGACGATCATGCCGTGACCGCGAGTCATACCGACGATCATGCCGTGACCGCGAGTCATACCGACGATCATGCCGTGACCGCGAGTCATACCGACGATCACACCGTGACCGCGGTCATTTTGACGATCGCACCATGGCTGCGAGTCATTTCGACCGCGAGTCACAAGTTTCTATAGGTACCTGTAAGTTGTTACCAATTTTTTGGTTTTTATAATTCAGTGCTACAAACGGTAAAAATTGATTGCGTCTTTTTTGCAATACTCAAGACTTTCTTTTTATGCACTGAAAAAAATCCCGTCTCGTCCCATCCCGAAAATCGGGAAGGAAATAAAAATCCCGTCCCGAACTAAAAATTCAATCCCGTCCATCCCTATTTAAAATAAAATGCTATGAACAGAGTAGGCCGTTTCTTATCGATCAATGAATTTAAAATGATAAAGTGTACCTACAACAACCATAAAAAACCAATAATAAATATTTCCCATCCAAATAACCGACCGACCGTTCGATTTAGGTTAATAGGTTTTAAAAGATTTAACCGAGTAGTCGTCTGTTATTTTTTCCGTGTGTCAAAAGTAATAACGTAACTTTTCATTGCAAAGAGTATGTCATTTATGGTTATTGTAATATTTATTATTAAATGGTTCCTATTCCATTCTTGCTTTTTTAATCATCATAGGCCAGTTTGTACATTTTTTTGGACTCAAGATTCAAGATTCGATTTTTTTAGGATTCAGATTTGGATTCGAGATTCAAAATTCCTAGATTTATCCATCACTACAAATAAGGTAGGTTAGTTAGTAAGGTTTTTTGGGTTTAAATATGACAAAAAGTGTCCTAATGTTATTGGTATTAATGGTATCAGCCAAAATAATCAATTTATTAGTAGGCAAGATCGTGGGCCGAGTTCTATATCAATACTTGTTGTAACAGACGTGTGGAGTGCGGGCTGTGTGTTGGCTGAGCTGTTGCTAGGACAACCCATCTTCCCTGGAGACTCAGGTGTGGACCAGCTGGTTGAGATCATCAAAGTGCTTGGCACACCTACACGGGAGCAGATACGCGAGATGAACCCAAATTACACAGAGTTCAAGTTCCCTCAGATAAAGTCACACCCATGGCAGAAGGTGAGTTAATACTTCCTACAGTGACTTGGTCACAAAAACTCCTGATACAAGATTAGACATCACCACATCTCTATGGACATAGACAAATAGAATTAAAATATAGACCGACAGCAGTGCTGCGGTTAGCATAAGTTCTGGCGTCCACTGCTAGGATTGCCGTGTAGTTAAATAGCGTGTGGCACTCCTAGCGGTGGATGCCAGAACTTATTCTAACCGTAGCACTACTGTCAGTCTTTAATTCTATTTGTCTATGCAGTGGACCAGCTGATTTAAAAAGAATACTGTTGATTGAGCTATTCGTAGTGCGCATAGTGTCAAAATTTTATTTTCTGAAAAATTAAAACTGAATAGTTGTTGGGGCACAACAGAAACTATATTTTACAGTCGGTTTCACTTCAGCCTATTCTCTTAAGAAGTGTCATGTTTTGTGTCTTTTGATTGTATCTATTAGCCCCTGGAGTATAATTTTATAAGGTAAGCTGGCTGAACTCTTACTCCATTATTTACAATAAATTGTTCCAACAGAGATAACTAATTTACACCAGCACACACTGTCAGTGGCTCAAGTCAACTACTCCTATTCTAAAACTGATGGCAAAAAGATTCTATTGACTCCTATTTTAGTAGATGCTATACAATAGTTTACGATCTCACTGATTTACTATTTTTTAAATGCAGGTTGGGAATATCAGAAGGAAGCCGTAGAACTTGCCTTGTTGCATTATCAGTTTTAGATAAGAAACACCCTTTAGTTTCAAAACACTTTTTTTTCAAAATTAGTTTAATGATACACGGCGATGCTTTTGTAAAATGACAGACAATTCCTTCATTGCAGTTCTTGCTCCAGCAAATGTCTGTTCCGAAATGTACAACTGACCACCAAAAGATAAGAGTAAGTGTGTCTGTGTGTGTGTGTGCGTGTGCTCCCCCTAACTCGATCAAGGGACGGACGGGAGCAACGGAACACAACTCGACTCCAATTTAGGGAATTTATTGAAAATGTTTTTCAGTTTTTCCATTGTAACGAAACTTAAGTTATCAAAACTGTTACTAAACTAGGCATACAATTAATTTAAAGGAACAGTTAAATTCACAAGGGATTATTCATTTGGTTTGAATATTCTCTTCTACTGACTTTTAAATTATTTTTTTGTGGGTAAAAGTAAATCATCAAAATGAATGTGTGATGCTTCTCCTTCATAGTTTTTATTTGCAATATTTTTTTGAAAGATCTACAATTTGTTGTTAAGGTTAGACAATAGACAATAGACAAATAGACAAATTCTTTATTCCTTCAACAATATACACATATTGTAATAGACATCGTCAAACTTAACAAGCAATAACAAAATATCAAGGCAACAAATATTTTGTCAAAAGATACATATAATACATAAATTAAGTCACATAGATAAAATGTATACTGCAGGCATGCCTTGTGGCTACTCTTGAGGATCACCAAGTATCACTCGGGAGTTTTAGCCCAGGAACTAAACGCAACATTGTCTATTTTTATCTTGTTAAATATTTTATACTAGATTTTGTGTGTACAGCTTTGTTCTCATCTTAAATTTTGTCGGGACTGTAGTGAAACCCAAAGTTAGAGTAGATTGGAAATGCACCAAACTTATTTTACTAGATTGCTGATTTGTAAAACAACTCCAATCCAAGAAATCTTATCCTTATCTGAACTTGAGGCCCCTTTAGCTCCAGCCAAAATATTTGGACTCTGTTTACTAAACACCTTGGCCACCAACCCCTGGATAGAATATCCCTAGTTCCTTTCTCTTCTAAGTTTAAGCCCGTTAAAAAAAATTATATTTTTGTTTTAGTACCCATAGTAATTCATTAGTACTTCATTACAAAGTAAAGTTATAATATAATATGTATGTATTCACACCTTTAAACTTCAATGAATATCAGTCAGGGTTAAGTGGAAGAATGTACCCATTATACTTCTCAGTTATTTTAATGCGTAAAGGTGCAAACATTTATTTGAAGTAATTAGTAAACCAATATTCACCCGTCTGTCCCTTATTTCAATAATCGCTTAACTGCTCTTCAGGAATACTTTTCATTAAAAAATGTGTCATTGGATTAATGCACCATTGTTCATTTTGAGATCAAAAAGTGTTAGTAATTTTTCCTCTGTATCATTTACTTTTAAATTTTATAAAGTTGTTTAAGAAGTTTAACATATTAACAACGATTTATGTTCAGTTCACCCTCAATGTAAAGAATTATATAATAACTTAAATTATTTACCTTTTCATTTGAATATTTTATATTTATAGTCTAGGCATATTAGGAAAGTTAGCGGAAAGTTTAGGTACAGTCCTAATCATCACTTTTCTTAACGTTTTTTGGGTTGCTGAACATGAATGTGAGGTTTGCTGGCGGATATTTTGCCCGGAACATTGTTTATTTTGTGAAAAACCTAAGCATTTTGGCACTTTTTTAGGTTTTGGGGTAAATCTCGGTTATTATGGGTTTTTGAGAAGACCCTGCTTTGTAAAATTAAAGAAGACAAAATCTACTACAAGTTTCCTATATAATATTTGTTTCTACGACGAACCGTTACGCCACTAGAGCACGCCAAAAATGACCAGAAGTACCAAAAATTAAAATAAACCCTAACCGTTTTACAAAGGTTTTACATTAGGTTTCCATGGAAACAACCCATGTTACGATAATTTGAACTATTTATTCATGATAATGAACTGAAACACACTTGATAAATCTATCTATGTATGATGTATGACTGACTGCTGGAACATTTCCCGTTCCCACAAAACCCCCATTTATTTTCTCAGCACAGGGATGTTGCTGGCCACAGGGTTGACTGCTATAGTGATAGAGAAAAAATGATGAAAGACATTAAAAGAGTTGTAGATGACTTTAACTTTGGCAACGTCAAATTCAGACGAGCAGACCGTGTCCAGCCACTTGCCATAATAAATAACGCGATGAAAGTAGAGAATTCTTACCCGTAAACCCCAACACATTGTTTCAACGTATCAGCATCGCTAGGGATTCTGATGAAGAACTAAACCACTTCTTGTCCTACGAACTGGGTCCATACTCTTTCTCGTTGTTTGATAATAACGGTTTGCACAAGAAACCAAATCAAATCTTTATAGGCCTTGCAACCTACTCCTCTTTATTAATGGATTTCAAAATATGAATTTACTTAAAATAGATAATAAAATTCCCATAAAGTTACAATAAAATATATTTAGGTTCTATAGCTATTAACAATCTCATTGGGCTAGGCTATGACAGTGAAATATATTTTGGTCTAGGTTTTTGATGGGCTAGGCTAGATAACAATTTGGAGAGCAAATTATCTTAAATCTAGGGGTTGGTTCGTGCCGGGTATGGAATTCTGATAGGCTGATTAACTTAATTTATACAGTACTAATATAGGCTAAATAATATGAGATAGGCTAATAATGAGGATAAAAAAAATTTAGGCTATAAGTTCTTAATTTGAAAGTCACTTGAATTTAGCCAATTCACAATGTGGTGGTTGGAAATTGATGATGAGTTTTTTTTAAGTGTTAATTGAGGTTGATATTACCAATTTTGTTGAATAGTGATTTTCTTCTTTCTTTATGTCTCTTTATATTCAATATTTATATGTATTCTGAATGTTAATTTTCAATTTTGGATATTTAAATCACTGGAGACTTGGCTCCCACATCCATCTCTCTCTATATCTTCCACCACAAGCACATTTTCTTCCTTTTCTTTAGCTTTCCTTCCAACAATTACTTCACACCTGGACACTGGACAGTACAAAAGAAATATTTCCTACCTAGACACTATTTAATTTTAGAATGGTATTTTTGAATATAGTTTTTCTTCTTCACTAATTTATATTTCATTAAATTTAAATATTCTTTTTGAAAATACAGTAATTAATAAATATTAAAAGTAATTTAGCTACAATTCACATATGAGTACATTCATGTTTTATCTCAATATCCCCTCAGAAATGATGGTATGGTGATGAATCAACAGAACATTATTTCGATAAGATAATGAATGAATGTATGACAACTTAACTAATTTACATAAACAGAACCTTTTTTTTATCTAGAATAAAAACAAACATTGAAAACATAAATATAACCTGATAAAACATAACATGGGACGTTAACACAACAAAACATGATTAATAATATTATTATTACAAACAAACAGTGGTAAAGAACAGAAACAGTGGAAAACATAAAGTGGTTTTGTGTCTATATATTTGTGATGTGTGAGTGTGTGGGAATTAACCATTTCCTATTGTCTATCAGTCTATCACCACTGAACACACAGTCCTCTCATCTTTTATAAAAGTTTATCTTGAGCACTATAATTGTCTTTTAAACAATACGGTCATTTTCACTAAAAGATTGTTTATACACTTGATTTTCAGAGAACAGGAAAGGGAATTAAACATTTTCGTTGTTCATGGGGGGAAATACTTCTTGATTGAAGAAATGTGGTATGGACCGAATTCTTCTGGGTTTTCTAAACTACTAATGAAGTATGTCGATGATCCTAACACTCTGCTAATCTTGAATGGTCCTTCATACACTTCAAATAGTTTGGCAGTCTCGCCTTGCGCTAAATTTGAAAGAGGGTGATTTCTTATGAGTACTAAATCGCCTGGATGAAAATAAGTTGGATGTGATTTGTTATGGTTTCTTCTAGCTCTTATATGACGCTTTTCTATGATTCTCTTCGAAGTTAAATATAGTTTGCGTGGGAGTGGTACTTCATTGATGAAAGGATTCTTAATGTATTTTTCCCAAAAGCGGATGTTTCTTTGCCCAAATTGTAATTCATTTGGGGAGAAACCAGTTGTCTCATGATATATTTCATTAAGGCACTCATTAATGTCTGGAATATAAGTAGCCCACCTTCGTTGTTGATGAGCACAATATGTGCGTAAACACCTCTTGACTTCTTTAATGGGTCGTTCTGCCATATTGTATCGGGGATAA